GGTGAGCGCCCTGCTGTAGGGGTGAGCCCCCTGCTGTAGGGGTGAGCACCCTGTGGTAGGGGTGAGCCCCCTGCTCTAGGGGTGAGCCCCCTGCTCTAGGGGTGAGCCCCCTGCCCCCCGTCTAAGGATCCACGGACACTGCGATGACTCACACCAGGGGCTCCCCGGGCTGAGGGACCCCACACGACATGCGGAAGGAAGCCAGCGTGTCCCAGGCACCCTCTCTCTCCCGCCCAGCCTGCCTCTCCTGGGTCGCTCTCGTGACGGTGACCCCAGCACCCACTGCCTGACCTGTGCCCAGAGCCTCCCTGGACCCTCTCCCTCCTGACCCGCCCCTGGGACCTGCCGTGCGACAGGAGCATCTGGGTGGCCATGGGGGGACGCGCACCTCCCAGAGCCTGTGCCCTGGCCTCGGGAGAGGCTGTCCCGTTTAGGCCCTGTGCACCTCGGACAGCGGACTGCGGGGGGAGCAGCCCCCTGAGGTCAGCGGGAACCAGAGGCAGCACCCGGTCGCAGGTGGAGCTTCACGCTGCCGCCCAGCCGCAGCAGCCTCTGGCGGTGATGGCCCCGTGACCCGGCCAGGGGAGTAGACAGCAGGCTGGACAGGCCTGGGTGGCCTCAGTGACAGCAGAGAACGTGGCCCTTGCTTCCTCAGCCCGTGACCCCTGGGCCTTTCCACATGCACATCCAACAGCCAAGGAAACCTCGGGGCGTCCCAACGCTGACACGGCCGTGGGGTGGCGCGCAGCCGTCGGGGATCCCTCGGGCTTCGAGGGCCCTCCCGAGGGACTCAGCCCCAGCGCCCATGCATGGTTTTCAGCATCCCCCGCCCCCCGCAGGGCGACCTGATGCAGAAGTCAGCGGCAGGCCAGTGAAGGTGGGCAGAGAGCAGTGCTCGTTCTTCAGCTGAAAGCTCACTGTGAAGGTCCCAGGGTGATGGAGCTGTTGGCCCCCCAGCATGCTCCCGACACCCTTTTGTGCCACTCGTTTTTCCCAATTTTTAAAATTCTGGTAAAATATACCTAAGATAAAAGTGACCATCGTAACCATTTTAAGTGTCCATTTCTGCGGCACTAAGTACATTCACATTGTTGTGCAACCGTCACCATATCCATTTCCAGAATTTTTCATCTTGCAACACTGAAACTCTGTCCCCATTAAACACTCACTGCCCACTCCTCCCCCAGCCCTTCCTGTGAGTGGATCGTAACGAAGGTGTCCTTCTGGGGCTTTTTAGCTTTGCATCATATTCTCAGGGTCCATGTGTCAGAACATCCTTCCTTTTTAGGACAGAGTTACAGCCCACTGTGTGGACCACATTAGGGTTTTCCACTCTTCTGTCTGTGGACACTTGGGCTACTTCCACATCTTGGCTATTGTGAGCAGTGCTGCCATGAACATGGGTGTGCAAATACCTCTTCCACACCTGTGTTCACTTCTTATTTATTTTTGGCTGCGTTGGGTCTTAGCTGCCACACGCAGGCTCTTTGTTGTGGCGCGTGGGCTTAGTTGCCCCGCGGCATGTGGGATCTTAGTTCCCTGACTAGGGATCGAACCCGAGTAGCCTGCATTGGAAGGCAGATTCTTAACCACTGGACTGCCAGGGAAGTCCCAAGTTCACTTCTTTTTTGTGGATTGCTGGATCATATGGTGATTCTCTATTTTAGCTTTTTGAGGAATCTTCATACTGCTTTCCCCAGCAGCTGCTCCATTTTCCGGTCCCACCGACAGCGCACAGGGGTTCCCATTTCTCCACATCCTCGTTAGCACTTGGTATTTTGTTTTTTTGTTTTGTTTGTTTGTTTGTTTGTTTTGCGGTACGCGGGCCTCTCGCTGTTGTGGCCTCTCCCGTTGCAGAGCACAGGCTCTGGATGCGCAGGCTCAGTGGCCCTGGCTCACAGGCCCAGCCACTCCACGGCATGTGGGATCCTCCCAGACTGGGGCACGAACCCGTGTCCCCTGCGTCGGCAGGCGGACCCCCAACCACTGCGCCGCCAGGGAAGCCCGGCCTCCGGCTTTATTGTTCCTGAGTTAGTTTTTATTTCAAGAAGTCTACTTTTTTTTTTTTTTTCAGCTGTGGCACGCGAACTCTTAGCTGCAGCATGTGGGCTCTAGCTCCCTGACTAGGGATCGAACCTGGGTCCCCTGCATTGGGAGCACGGAGTCTTAGCCACTGCACCACCAGGGAAGTCCCTCGAGAAGTTTACTTTTGCATGCTAATTTTTGAAGTAATTTTCCCTGTTATGAGACAAACTGCATTGGTAGAAAAATTCTCATGGGCTCCCTCCTAAATGTTCCAAGTCAAAGGAGGCATGGGGTGGGGCTCTCACCTGTCATGGCTGACGGTTCTGGGCTCAGGATGGGGCTGCGGTGTGTGTCATATGACGATCCTGTTGAGACGTTTCCTCCAGAGTTTCACATGACCTGGAGAAAGGGTGGGTTGAAATTGCTTTAGGGAAATCAGATTAAATCACAAATTAAGTTATCTGACAAACGGTTAGTGAGCATGTGTTAAGTGCCAAGTCTTGTCTCCATCCTGTGGGACACGACAGCCGAGGCTTAATATAAAAAGGACTCCCACAAATGCACAGGAATAAGTGTCGGAGCTGATCGTTCACAGAAGAAGTAAAAGTACCTCCTACAAATTGGAAAGCACTCAGCTTCACTCATATAGTCAAAGAAATGCGAACGTAAACACCCAACAGTGGTCTTTGCCTTGCCTATCAGATTGGCAAAAATAAAGAACTTTAATTCTTGGTGTTGGCAAGAGAGTGAGGAAGTGGGATCCTTCACTGTGTTGGGAGCATAAACGGGCACAGATGTTTTCTAGCACAATTTGGTAACATGTCTCAAAAATCTTCAATGTGGACTTCCCTGGTGGCACAGTGGTTAAGAATCCGGCTGCCAATGCAGGGGCCACGGGTTCGAGCCCTGGTCCGGGAAGATCCCACATGCCGTGGAGCAACTGAGCCCGTGCACCACAACTACTGAGCCTGCGCTCTAGAGCCTGCGAGTCACAACTACTGAGCCCACGTGCCACAACTACTGAAGCCTGCACACCTAGAGCCCGTGCTCTGAAACAAGAGAAGCCACCGCAATGAGAAGCCCGTGCACCACGAGGAAGAGTAGCCTCCGCTCGCCACAACTAGAAAAAACACGCGCACAGCAACAAAGACCCAATGCAGCAAAAAATAAAATTAATTAATTAAAAAAAATTCTTCAGTGTGCTTCACTTTTTTTTTTTTTTTTTGCTTTTTTGCGGTACGCGGGCCTCTCACTGCTGTGGCCTCTCCCGTTGCGGAGCACAGGCTCCGGACGCGCATGCTTAGCGGCCATGGCTCACGGGCCCAGCCGCTCCGCTGCATGTGGGATCTTCCCGGACCGGGGCACGAACCCGTGTCCCCTGCATCGGCAGGCGGACTCTCAACCACTGCGCCACCAGGGAAGCCCTTCACTTTTTTAAAAAATAAATTTATTTATTTTGGGGCCACCAGGGAAGCCCTGTGCTTCACTTTTGAGCAGATAAAATCCTTTCTAGGAATTTTTCCTGGTGAAAGAATGACCTGAGATGCAAAGTGCATGGACATTGCTCCTGTGAAAGGGCCCGGGACCCCGGGGAGACTGCCCACGACAGAGGTGGACGGGCTCACGGGTGCGGGCAGATGGGGCAGGATTCTGGCCCCCCCACCTCTCTGCTTCCTTCCGGAACCAGAGGTGCCCCTAACGTAAGCTCCATCCTGTCAGCTAGACAGGGTCTGGGGGAGGCGGGCTCTCTAAATCCTTCCTCAGCCAGCCTGGAGCCAGGCCCAGACCCCACCCACAGCCCCTGTCGGGCGGAGCCCCCAGCCCTGTGGGGCATCGGCAGGTGCAGGCCCCGCCCTCCAACACTGAGCGGGCCAGCTGTGCTGACAACCGATGAACCACCGGGAAGTAACAGGAAGCCAAGGTGTTTACCTGAAACTGCAGAGAGTTCATCGACCTCGAAAACACAAAGGTAAGGCGCTGCGGCAGCACAGGGACGCATTGCCCTTTCGAAACTGACGTCCTGACGGACTGGCGGGCGTGGGCCTGGAGGGTCAATGGGCCTCCCCTGTCCATCCCTGCACCCCCGTTGCTCAGTCAGCCCCCTGCAAGTCAGGCAGGGAGCCACCCAGGGGTGCTCTGCCTGAGGTCTATGCCTGGCCCTGAGACCCGCAAGCAGAGCGAACTCTGCCCTCTAAGGAGATGGCCCAAGGTGCTCAGGGCGGCCACCCAGTGGGGCCAGCGTGGCACACGGTTTGTGGCCCGGTCAGCTCGGGGGTGAGGGAGGGCTGAGCCTGATGAAGGGGGGTCCAGGAGGGTCTCCAACTGTGAGGGTGGCCCACATGAGCTGCAGGGGTGCCAGCCCACCTGGGAGCTGTCCAGACGCCCCTGAGCCCCGTGAGCCTGGGAGGGACACAAAAGCCTCACCCTGGGCCCGATTCCTTTGTCAGAACTGAGATTCTGGAAAACTGGGAGGCGGTCCCTTCCCCCAGGGGCTGCGCCGCCCGGCTCTTCCCTGATGCAGGTGGCAGCAGAAAGGGGACCACTGTCTCTAGAAGTCACTTCTGCAAAAGCCAGAGGAAGCGGCCCAACTGACACTGTGCGGTCCTGGGGCCCCTGCTCTGCCCCCCTGCCCTGTGCAGTCTGTGCAGAGCAGAGCACTAACTCCAGATCCGGGGCCGTGTCTCTGACTGTCAGGCACACCGGCAGGGTGCGGGGGTCACGTTGAGAGGACCGGGGCCACAGAAGGCCCAGGCCGGAGCAGCCAGGCTCTGGAACCGCCCCACGCCCGGGTGCGGTCCTGCCCTGCTTGCGGCCACAGGCCTGGGCACCTGCCCCCGGGCCCAGCCCCGGGCTTTTGCCCAGCAGAGCTCAGCCCAGGCTTGGGCCTCGTCTTGGCCTTTCCCTGCCCAATGGACACATGGCTTCAGGTCTCCGCCCGCCCAGGCCTCCTCCCGGGGTGGCCGTGGACTGTCCGCTCCTGGTGTCCCCACCCTGCCAGCCCCAGAGTGCCCGTGGCCCCTCCCCACCGGCAGCTGGGGCTCTTGCCAGCCAGGAGACCATAGGCCTGGGTGCCCCCTCGTCCTCTCCCGGGGTCAGGTGCCAAGAGGGACGCATCTTCCACACCAGCAGCCTCACTGCCCTTCCTGCCCCGCATGCCAGCCTGGTGGGCTCAGGGCCTCCGTCCCCTCTCTGGCTCCAGGGGGGCTGTGACAGCCACAGGCCATGGGGTGGGTGGCCCAGGTCAGCCCGAAGCCCCTACGCACCCAGCCCTGGGCTTGAGCGGCCCGTCTCCTGCCCCCACCCTCTCTGGCCCTGGGCACCACCCTAGTGCCTGCACATCCCCGAAGGGCCCATGGCAGCCCCACAGGAAGCACTGCGTCCGGATGGACGCTCACATGACACGGTGAAGAGCGACCTGGCCCCCGGCGCTGGCCCCCGACACCCTACGCCCTGCGTGTGCAGTGGGTCCCTCCCGTCATTTAAGATATGCTCTCAGACGTTTCACTCTGGAGTTTTTCAAACAAACGCAAAAGCACAGGGGGCGAGCCCGCGTCCAGCACGCCCGCTGCCCTCACCTCCGGTTGCCCCATCGCACGCCGTGGAGCCTGGTCCCTGGCTACTCATCATCACTGTGGGTTTGCTGGGACGTCTTTACCCTTTCACCATGGCTGGGCCTGTCGGGTGACTTCCAACCTCTCACTCCCACCTGCCCCCACTCAGAGCTTCGACTTTATTTCTGTCTCTGCGCAGGTTACACTTTGGGGAGGGAGCTCCTGACTTATCAGCCCCTGCAGCCCCTGAGCTCCTTGCTCTCAGGCAGCTGAACCGGGGGCCCCATCTCACCAGCGCAGCAGGAGTCCATCTCCATTTCCCCCATTTAGGCAGATTTTTTACAATGTGCCTTCTAAAATGCACCTCCACTTCTTCGATGGCTAGGGGGGTGGAACACCGCGCCTTGTCCCACCGTCGCCGGAGGCGTCTCCGTCCTCTCCCTTCTGCCTGCAGGAACCCCTACAACATCACCTTGTCACCGTCCAGGCAGAGACGCCAGGAAGAACCCCTTCCTCAGCGCCCAGCCCCTGCCCACCGTTCTCGGCAGGCACCTACGGGAGCCCCCCCACAGGGCCTGGCGCTGGACACCGTCCCAAGAAGCCTGCGAGCTGCCCAGCCTCAGGACCAGGCTGGCTGCCCACCCCAGCAGACACCCCCTGTCTTTCCGTCCCTCCTCTCGCCCACGTGCCTCTGGCCCCACCAGGCCCTGGAGACCAGGGTGGCCGCGCGTTACACCCACCCCGCCAGGCTCCCCACCACCTCCGAGAATCGGCGGCAAGCACGCAGCCCCGGGGAAGTCCCTGAGTGCCTGGCGGAGGCCCTGAGGGACCTGGCCACCCGCGCTGGCCCCCGATGCCCTATGCCCTGCGTGTGCAGTGGGTCCCTCCTGTCGTTTAAGATACACTTTCAGACGGCAAGGAGAGCGTCCCAGGGGGATAAACCCCCGGCTCCCGGCTCCCAGCTCCCAGCCGGCCCAGCACTGCGGCCGGGGGGCGGGGGACTCTGCAAAGGGGAATCTCAGCAGCTCTGAAGGGGCCGCAGAGGGACCGTCCCTCCCCCAGCCCCCCGCCCTCCACCGCATCTGTGGTGCCCCGGGGTCCCTCTTGGTGAAGGAGCCCAGGTTAAGACCCTCCACCAAGCCCCCACCTTTATGCCAACAAATCACTCTGCTTTCAGACCCCCACCCCGACTGCTCCCCGTACAGGGGCCCGGGACTTACTCAGGGCCCGCCCGGCGCCAGCCTCGTGCTCCCTCCTTGCAGGCCCAGTTGAGAGCTTTCAGGAAGTAGCAGGAGTGTCTCTCAAACTCCCCAAACCGCAGACAGAGCGAGACCTCAAGACCTGGGGTTGGCCAGCCCGCCGGGGCGACTTCTCACTGGTGTTGAGACTGTGGCCTCATGGCTTTGCTGAAAATGGCCTCAGTGCCACTTCTCATGGTCCTGGCAACACCCAGACCTGCCTTCCCTCAAGACCTTCCTAGGCGGCTCGGGCCGGACATGGGACCAGCTCGCATGAGCTGCTGGTGCCTACTGCTCCCAGACAGCTGCGCTGGGCACCCAGGGGCAGGGACCCCCGGGGAGACGGACCCCAGCTCCGCAGGCCCAGGCCTGGCATGGCCCCTCACAGGCCGCTGGGCACAGAGCAGGGCTGCCTGCAAGAGGCCTTGCCTTCCCAGGGACACCCGTGGGGCACTGGGAGCAGAGCTGCTGCCCGGCACTGCCCGCCGTGGCCCCAGGACTGCACCTGTCCCCAGCGCCCAGACGTCTCACATGGAGCTCGCCCTCCCCACTCCCCATCCTGGGGTGGGCCAGCACACCCCGTCTAGGTGGTGTCTCTGAGCCCCTAAAGCCGGTCCCAGCCAGGCCAGGTGGCCTCTGAGGGTGGGTTTCTCTGGAGAGGCCGCGTGGGACCCCCCAGGGACCCAGTGTCCACACTGGCGGTGGGGGGGTCTGTGTGTCTCTCTCCGGCTTGCAGGATCACAGCCTAAAGCACGTGGCCAGTGTCCTCGGAAGATGCGGGGGGCTGCAGGTGACCGCCACCTTGCCTGACCACCCTGGGCTGGTTCTGGGTTTCAGGGTGAGACGGAGGCACCGTGGGCCCCTCTCTGCATCCCCACTGCAGACCTGGCTCTTCAGCCCAGGGCACGGCTGGGCCCACCAACATTTGTGGGTGACCTGTGTCCAGCACCACAGCACGGGCGGTAGGCGGCGTTGGAAATGAGGCCACCGCCCCCCCCTCATGTCCAGGGCCCGGGGAGCCTAGGAGGGCTGGCCCCCACTCTGCACTTTCCCTCGGACGTTCATCTGGTGGCTGGAGGCCGGCTCCCTCTCCGTTCCCCCACCTCCACCGCACCGCAGCTTCTCTGGGTGGGTGGGAACATGGGCGCCCAGAGAGCTGGGTGTGCAGCACGTGCGGGTCTGAGCACAGGCTCATCGTGGCCTTTCCGGAGCACCTGCCCGGGGCAGCTCTTCCCAGATGAGCAAAGGAAGGTAGAGCTGAGGCTCTGGGTGGGCCGGGTGGTACCCACACCCCTGGGGTCCGAGTGAGGCAGGGCCTCAGCCGGGGCACTGCCCACATCCGGCCAGTGGGCCAGGCACCCTCAGGGATGGCGGGGGACAGCTGTCATCATGGGGGCGGCCCAGGCCCTGCCCGGGACTGTTCCCTTCTACACGCCCACCTAGAGGTCCGCGTATTCCCAGGCTGCCCCGCACCCAACTGATGCGCTTGGGCCTAAAACCCTGGCCACCGTCGCCCTCTGTGCCGTGGCTGTCGGGTCAGGGGTGGCAGCTGAATCCTCCCCTTGGGGTCTTCAGGGGGGCCTGGGAAGGGAAGCCTGGGCCCCTGCGGTGGGAGTGGAGGGCTGTGAGCTGGGGGGTGGCAGCTGTGCCCACGCCACCCCCTTCCAAGCACAATTCCTGACCAGCAAAGCAGGTGCAGGGAAGGGGTTTTGCGGGGGTGAGGGGGCTGGGTGCTTTTCCTGGAGGCTGAGTGTCTTTCAGGCAGGACAACGGGGGACCCTGTAGCCCCCTCTTGACAATGTCCCGGGGGCCCCCTTGAGAAGAGGCCACTAGTTTCCGTGGTCCCACTTCCACCAGGCAGGTGTCTGTGAACCCAGAAGGGTTTCCTCACTGACCCTGTCTGCAACCTCACTTCCATCACCTCATGACAGGGGAACATTATTCACCGTTTTAAGTGGGTCGAATATTCATGGATTCAAACTCAAGGCGGTGGCGACGCTCTCCGGGCATCTGCCGGGCACCATGCACCTCCGGGCAACGTCTCCACTCTCCTCACTGCTCCTAAAGGTTTTATAGGGGAAGGAGGGGACCACCACCCACGTTCAACAGGCACGAAGGTCCCTGAGACGGGCTTTGTGTTTGAGCAGAATGCGGCCCCTGGCCCGGCACCCAGACCCCCGAGCTCACCTCCAGAGCCACGCCATGTCCTGCCTGCCCTCTGCACCCCTCGGCCCCCGGCAGCCAGCCTGGTTGTCCCCAGGTGTTTACAGCAGGGACGGCGTGCCTGGTGGGCCTCAGGCCTCTTGGTCTCCTCACGCGGAAGCAGCGCCCCGACCCCTTGCGCCCGTGACTTTCGCGTTCTGAAGGGGCCTGTCTCCTAAAGTGTCGCACGTTCTCGATGTGCTTGATTGGGTCCTCCCAGAGTCATTGTACGTGGTTCTCCAGCACGGGCTTCCCGTGACTGGGAAGTGGTTCTAAAGCCCCGGCAGGTTCAGTTTGACGTTTCTGGCACCGGGATCACGGCGACAACAACCACTCCTTCGACAGGGCCGGTGATGGGTGGTGGGGTGGATGCCCCCCGGCACCCTGGCCGGCCCTCCTGGAGCTGTACGCCCCACGCCCCATCCCAGGGCAGCCACCTTGCTTGGCTGGCTAAGTGGTGACTTTCCCATTATGTGACGTTTCCACCTGTGTCCTCCGGCAGGTTCGGGGCGGGGGGAAATGAGCTGCCCCTCCCCTCTCCTCCCAACCGATAGGCAACAGTCACCTCCTGCTGTAGCCAAGGTCTTGGACCCTCTCTCACCCTCTCGCCGAGTATCATTAAGGACTCAGGGATTTTTATTGTGGTAAATTATACATAACATAAAATTCACCATTTTAAGGGCTTCCCTGGTGGCACAGTGGTTGAGAATCCGCCTGCCAGTGCAGGGGACACGGGTTCGAGCCCTGGTCTGGGAGGATCCCACATGCCGCGGAGCAACTGGGCCCGTGAGCCACGACTACTGAGCCTGCGCGTCTGGAGCCTGTGCTCCGCGACAAGAGAGGCCACGATAGTGAGAGGCCCGCGCACTGCGATGAAGAGCGGCCCCCGCTCGCCGCAACTAGAGAAAGCCCTTGCACAGAAACGAAAGACGCAACACAGCAAAAATTAATTAATTAATTAATAAACTCCTACCCCCAACATTAAAAAAAAAGCTTGGGAAAAGAATTGCTTAGGATACTTTCAATTACTTTAAAAAATAAATAAATAAAAATAAAATAAAATTTACCACTTTAACCACTTTTAACCACTTTAACCACTTTTAACCACTTTTAAGTGGTAAATTTTATTTTATTTTTAAGTGGTTAAGCGATAAGTATACTCACATAGTCATGCGACCACCACTGCCATCACCCCTGGGACTCTTCACCTCCCCAGACAGAAACTCCGTCCCCATTCGACACTCACTCCCCATCTCCTCCCCCAGCCCCTGTCCCCACCATCCTACTTCTGTCTCTAGGACTTTAACTGCTCCAGGGACCTCATACGAGTGGGATCACACAGGATCTGTCCTTTGGGGACTGGTTTACTTCACTCAGCACGAGGTCCTGGAGGTCCGCCCGTGCTGGAGCAGGTGTCAGAACTTCACTCCTCGTTATGGCTGAATCCGATTCCATGTGTGCACGGGCCACATCTGTTTATCCATCATCCGTCCATGGACACGTGGTTGCTTCCCCCTTTTGGCTGCCATGTGTAACGCTGCTGTGAACACGGGTGTGCAGGACCCATGGGTTTTTGTATCTTCAGTGTGTTTCTGTCGACCACAGTTGTTACTCTCGAGGACACTCAAATTATCCCAGACTCGATGAACCACCCGCCCTGCCTCTGTGGGGATGATGACATGGTCTGTCTCTTTAGCTTTGTTATTACGGTAAATTTTGTCCGTCGATCACCAAACACCACGTGCCTGGACTGAGCCCTACTCCGTCGTGTGTGTCAGTCCGTTTGTGCGATGCCGGATCCCATTGGCTGAGATGACCGTTTTTTTTCTTCTTCCGGTGAGCCTGCCAGGCTTCCCTGACTGCTGACCTCTCCCCCCTCCCCCACTTTTGAGCCTCAGTGATGCTGAGTCACTGAATCGGGCTGGGGGAGGGGGAGGTAGGGGGCTTCCGGGGGTTTCCATGGGACTCAGTGTTCTCATAAAAGGGCAGCAGTTCCCGGCACCAGCCAGGGAAGGGGCTTTCAGGGCAGTTTCGGAGAGTTTCCCTGAGAGAGAAGAGGCTGGGAATGGAAAGGGGCTTTTGAGAAGCTGTCACCCCAAGAGCTTGGTGATTCTGAAACTCATTACCAGCCCGTGTTCCTCTGACCAGAGCGCACTCTGAGTGTGAATCATAGATCATGGTTTCAACAAAGTTATAGTGTGCCCTAGATCAGCCCAGGACAGGCTACCCATCACCTCAGAAACCCCAGACAGCCATGCTGAACACACAGGGGTTTCCTCTCTCTCTCTCTCTCTCTCTCTCTCTCTCTCTCTCTCTCTCTCCCAGGGCTGGCTCAGCAGCTGCCATGGCCTTGGGAAACCAGGTGCCTTGACTCTTGGTCAAAAATGACTACCTGAGCTCCAGCCTTCACATCTGCATTCCAGGTGTCAGGAAGGAAGGAACTGGAGGACTGTGCCGCCACCCCCCACCCTCCCCCACCCCCCCGCCTTTGAGGAGACATCCCAGAATCCCCACCCAATGCTTCTGGTCTTGCCTCCTCAGGAATGCAGTCCTGTGGCCACGCCCAGCTGCAGGGGCGGCTGGGAAATGTGGTCTTTGATTTCACTGTGCCCACTGACCCTGGGTGCTCTTCCTAAGCAAGAAGGGGCATTTAGGTATTGGGGGTGTGCTGCCTTGGGCACATGTGGTCACCAGCTTCCCTTCCACCTGGCAAGGGCAGGTCCCAGACTGGTGGGTGAGGCGCACACTGCCCAGGCCCAGGGACGAAACTGCCCCCAGATGAGAAAAGCGTCCAGAGGGGGGTTGATCTGGGAGGAGGAGGACCCCAGAGACCAGAGAAACTGGGAGAG